GCCCATGCCACCCCGCCCATGGCTTATTTCGTACCCCGCCGCGCCCCCTCCCCCGGGCAAGGCGGCAACCACCCCGACATCGACGACTGCGACTACAACGACTACGACCGTGCGTGGCGCGTGTTCGTGTTGCGTGGCGCGCGGTTGCTTTGCGTGGCGCGCGGTCGTGGCGCGCGGTGCGTTCAGTATGGTGCGCGCGCGATGGCGCGCGGGGTGTTGCGCGGAGGTGCGTGGCCGTGGTGCGTGGCGCAGGCGCGTCGTGGCGGTGGTGCGTGGCCGTGGTGCGTGGCCGAGTTGCGCGGTGGTGCGTGGTCGTGGCGCTTGGCCGTGGTGCGTTGTGCGGTAACCTGAATCGTGTTATGTGGTAGTGGTGCGTCGTAGTGGAGGATCAGGTGTCGGTGCTCGCGGGGAGGGATGGCGAGGGAGGAGAGGGAGAGAAGAGAGGGGGAGGGCGGAGGAATAATGAGGCGGGAGGTTTTAGATAATCACCCACGCGTATGTTTGTTATATGAATTACGGGTATGCTTTCGATAGAGAGAGAGGGAGAGAGAGAGAAACAGAGAGAGAGAGAGGGAGAGAGAGAGAAGGGGAACATCACATGGATGGCCGATCCGAAATGCTCGTGCTAATCTGGGGAGGGGGGGAGCGGGGAGGGAAGGATGGAGGGAGGTCTGGCGCTGTTTTTTTATGGTGATTGTCAGGAGCGCTCGTATTCGGTGTATGTATTTCATAGTCGGGTGTAATTTTCATGGATGGATCTACTTTATGAGGCCGGATCTAGAATGTATATACAGATCTAGTTTTAATATGGTCGTTGCATGGGTTCTAGATTCTAGAACCTGGCGACCCCAGGGTCAGTCCGGGGTCAGTCCGGGGTCAGTCCGGGGTCGGTCCGGGGTCAGTCCGGGGTCAGTCCGGGGTCAGTCCGGGGTCGGTCCGGGGTCAGTCCGGGGTCAGTCCGGGGTCAGTCCGGGGCCAGTCTGTGCTCCGTGCGGGGTCCGTCTGGGCCGGGTTCAGTCCAGGGTCAGTCCAGGGTCGGATCCGGGGTTTGCCTGAGGTCTGTCCAGGGTCTGTCCGGGGTCAGTCCAGTCTGGGGCCAGCCTGGGTCAGTCCCGGAGTGACCTGCAGGATTGACCGTGCAGACCGACCCTTGAATGACCCCTGTGTATATGGAGCCTGGTCGGATCGAATTCAGCGCAGCCGAGCCGACCGCCACATTAGGTGCACGCGTATGTGGGAGCGCCCGAATGGAAAGGAGAGCGGAGAGTATTTTAATGCATAGGAAATGAAAATGCAAGCGGGCCGATCTAGTTTTCGGAATTGCAGAAGTCGGGGACCGAAACTTCCGATCTAGTTTAGCCGAGACCTAGTTTCACCGATTCTATTTCTAACGAGCGGAGAGTATGTCTACTGCTACCACTGCTACGACTACCACTCTCATGATTACTGCTACTACTACGAGTACTTCGGCTACTACTACTAATACTACTACTACTATTCTTACGGCAACTACCAATAAGTTTACGACTAGTACTACTATTTTCACTCTTTCTACTATTACTACTGCTACTACGACCACCGCTTCCATTGCGACTACGACGACGATTTCTATTACAACTTCAACTACTTCTATTTATACTATTACTACGGTTACGTCTACTTCTTTTACTACTACTATTACTACTACTACTACTACTACTACTACTACTACTACTTCTACTATTACTACAGCTACTACTACTACTACTACTACTACTACTACTACTACTACTACTACTACTACTACTACTACTACTACTACTACTACTACTACTACTACTACTACTACTACTACTACTACTACTACTACTACTACTACTACTACTACTACTACTACTACTACTACTACTACTACTACTACTACTACTACTACTACTACTACTACTACTACTACTACTACTACTACTACTACTACTACTACTACTACTACTACTACTACTACTACTACTACTACTACTACTACTACTACTACTACTACTACTACTACTACTACTACTACTACTATCACTATCAGTACTCACACCCACCACGGGCGATATCTTTTGTTCCCCGGATTTTCGATCGCTAGACAGTCCCCTAGATGACCTCCCCCACGAGAGGACATGAACACCTCCCTGCATTTATTTTCTCCAGAGGACATGATATTAAAACGTCCGAAACCCTTTTTTTTTGAAAGCCCGTGCATCCGTGCACCGTGCATACGTACACTACTACCCGTGCAACCACTACGACTACTACGACCACTACGATTATGACTACCGTGCATAAGAGTTCCGAGACCCCCGAGGAAATTATCCCATTGCTACCTCTGTGCGTACGAGTTGCCGAGGCGAAAAATTCATTACCCCCCCGAACCCGAGTCTGATTATCCCAGGGTTTCTTGGCAGAGGTACCTGGTTACCCATATAGATGTGTGTACATATATACAAAATATACCTAGTGTTCCATGTTTCGTAAAAGGAAATTAGAACATCAGAACCGCCCCGTGCGAGGTTATTCGCGCCGCGAGAAGAGGACGGTTGGCCTTTGAAGGTTCGGCGGGCTGGGAGGTACCCGGTCGAGGGGCGCAGCGGGAGCCTCCCGGTTGGCCTGCTGCCGCTGGTCCCCGCCTCGGTGCCCGCAGACGTTTGCTGCCTCGTCGTCGTCGTCGTTATCGTCGTCGTCGTCGTCGCCGCCGCCGCCGTCGTCGTCGTCGTCGTCGTCGTCGTCGTCGTCGTCGTCGTCGTCGTCGTCGTGGTCGTCTTCCTCATCCTTCCCACCGACGGGGTGATGTATAGTTTGAGAGGGGAGGGGGAGGAGTAGGTGGAGGGAACGGAGGAGGAACAGGGGGATGCTAGGATTAGTAGGAGCATCAGCAAGTGGCGGAGGAAAGGAGGATGCGGCGAGAGGAGAGTGAATGGGGGTAGAAGGAAAAAGACGGTTAGCAAGATGAAAAGGGGGAGGTGGGAGGGGGGAGGAGGAGTTGGTAGAGGATGAGGAGGTGGAGGTGGATGAGGAGGATGGAGCGTGGTTTAGCAGAAGGAAGGGTCAGGAGAACGAGGAAGGAGGCTGGAGTTGATTGATGGATGAGGAGGAGGAGGCGAAGAAGAGGGGCGAATGGGGGCTAAGAAGAAAGCGTAGAAGAATGAGGCTTGCTTGATGGATGAAGGAAGAGGCGGAGAAGATGGGAGGATGGGAAGAATGAGGAGCCAGCTGGTTACTGGGGAATCCTATGGAGTCTCGGGGTTTCTATGGGTTCCTCCTGCCTCCTTTTCTCCCGCCTCCGCATTTTTCCCCCCCTCCATCCGCCTCATCCTCCTGCCTCCCTCCCTCCCCCCCCCTTCCTCACTTCAGAATGGATGTTCCAGCGGTCACCTCCGAACGTTCCGAGTTCCAGTTGCAGTCCCATGGGGCACCAGCACTGGGTTGCGTGGCTTATTGTGCAGGCCGCTGTTGAGGCTTCTTCGGAAGAAGAAGGCCCATGCCTCAGAAGCGCCCCCCGCCCTGTTAGAAGGCCCCACCCCTCGCGTTCCCCCCCTGGTGCGGGCTGCCAATTTCTCACGGCCCAAACCGGGGAGCCCACACGGTATGGTGACCACACCGTGTGTTGAGTCATTGGGGAGTCGAGGTGACCGCACGGTTTTGGGACTCGGGTTGTTCTCCCAGGACGGCTCGGGCGATTGGGGCTTCCAGAGCCCCATCAAACGGTGCGGTGACGGACCGTGCAGTGCGGTTTTTGGGGAGTCCGAGGTCACCGCACGGGCTCGCACCGCACGGCCTCTCACCGCACCGTTGTTGCCCCTCCCACCCCAAAAAACAAGAACAAGAATCGCTGGTGGTCGACGACGACGACGACGACGACGGTGATGATGCTGCTGATGATGATGATGGTGATGATGATGATGTTGATGGTGATTGTTATGGCGATGGTGATTGTGATGGTGATGGTGCCAGTGATATTGTTGTTGATGATGATGACGATGATGTTGATGGTGGCGACGGTGATGGTGATGATGATGATGATGATGGTGATATTGATTACGATGGTGCTGATGATGATGATGATGATGGTGATCGTGATGGTGATGGTGATAGTGGTGATGATTTTGATGGTGAGAACGAGGATGAATGAGTAGGATGATGGTGGTGGTGGTGTTCATGATGATGGTGGTGATGGTGATTGGGATGGTGATAATGATGATGATGACGATGATTGTGTGAATGATGATTGTGATGGGAATGATGAGGCTGAGTATGATGAGGGTTGTGAGTATAGTCAACACGATGTGGTTTGTGATTTTGATGGCGATGAATGGGGATGACGATGAGGATGAAGATGTTGTCGGTGATGCTGTTGATGATGATGATGATGATGAGGATGCATGTGATGATGATTTGGGCGATGAGACTGCTGATGCTGATAATGCTAATGATGCTGATGCGGACGACGATGAGGATGAAGGTGATGATGATGATGAGGACGACGACGATGACGAGGACGATGACGATGTCGATGAGGATGATGATGATGATGATGGCGATGATGATGAGGATGGTGCTGATGATGATGGTGATGATGAGGTGGCGGATGCTGATGGTGATAAGGATGATGAGGATTATGGGGATGGGGATGAAGAGCAGGACGATGATGAGGATGAAGGTGATGACAATGATGATTATGATGATGATAATGCTGATGAAGATGATGATGATGATGATGATGATGATGATGATGATGATGGTGATGATGATGATGATGATGTTGATGGCGATGGTGATGATGACGAGGTGGATGCTGACGATGATGGATGATGATGATTACGATGATGATGATGATGATGATGATGATGATGATGATGATGATGATGATGATGATAATGATAATGATAATGATGATGGTGATGATGATGCTGCTGATGAGACTGATGACAACGATGATGATCTTGGCCTTGCTAAAGAAAAAACGCCGGTGGCTCGGGCAGGTGCTGTCGTTCTGGCGCATCGAGGCGCTGGGCCTCGGGCTGCTGCCGCCCCGCCGCGGCGCGGGCGCCTCCGAGGTGGAGGCGCGGGCGCGGGAGACCCCCCCGCGGTGAGCAGGGCACCGGCGATGGCGTCGGCGCCGAGGTCATATCCCAGACATGATCGCGTCGTTAAAAAAAAAATCGGGGCGGAATGGTTTCGGTGATTTTCGGCCCCAGGTGGCCCTCGGCGGGCCTCGGGACCATCAAACAAACGACTCAGGACGAAAGACCGGTCCCTGGGAAGGGGTCGGGACTTCCAGGGGCGCCGTCTTGAAGAATCAGGCGTCGCATGTCTGGGATGAGCTACGCCCGAAAAACGGGATTGGTTGCGCCAATATTCGTGCGAAGGCTGCCCGCGTAGGGTTGCGCGTGAGCGCCCTCGTTCCCAGTGTGGCGTGCCGTGCTGGCGGCCCGCGTGAGCTGGGGCTTAGGTCGCCATGCCGTCTCGGATCCGTTTTGTTTACGTCGCTCATATAGGGTGGATAGGCTCGAGGTTCGAGGGCAACGAGGGGTTCGAGGTTCGAGGGTTTCGGGTGTATGCGTCGGTTCTTGGCGGCTTTCCAGCCTCGGGGTGCGTCCCAGCGGCTGCGCCGGGGGCCGAAGACGGCAAAATTCGAGCATGTCTGGGCCGTGGGCACGGTCAATTTGTTTTGAAAAAATGTTACATATAGACATACATATACCTATATACATATATATTTATATATATTTGTTTTATTTTGTTTTAAAAAAAAAAAAACTTATTTGTTTTGCGACGCGAGTGTGTCTATGTAGGTGCATAACCCTCCTGCGCTTGTGGCCACCCGAGTGAGGCCACGGGGCCGGGCGCCAGCGGAATTGGGCCAGAACCCGCGCGGGCGCTGGCGTGGGTGGTGCTGCCCGCCGGGGCCCTCTCGCGGAGGAGGACCACGGCGGTCATCGCAGGGGTGGTGTTTTGGGCCAACTTCGCGGTCGCGCGCAGCAGGGGGGGAGGAACGAGGGAGGAGGGAGGAGGGAACAGAAGAACGTGGAGGAGGAGGAGGAGGAGGAGGAGGAGGAGGAGGAGGAGGGGTGATTAGGACGGGGGAGGAGGAGGAGGCGGGGAGGGAGGGAGGGGGAATGAGTTGGAGTTGGAGCCATGGCGCGATATGTGAAGCGAGACAGTGCCGCAGGAGCATGCTGCGGCTTGGACGATAGATTGCTCCTGAGGAGGTGGGAAGGGATGGGGAGGACAATGGCTTTATGAAGGAACGGCCGTGGTTTGTAAGGGGTCTTGGGGACCCCCAGGACGTGTTGGGAGATCGTGGAGACTGTGGGTGGTTCTGGGGGGTCTGGGGGGAATGGCGGCAAGCAACTCTGGCCACGGCTACGACGGGGGAGAGACTTCGAAGAAAATATAGAGGTCATTCGGAAGGAAGCGGCCCCGTCCCCCCCGTCACCCTCAAACAGACAGGGTTCATCTCACTGTAGAAGGATGCCCCCCTGATCCCCCCCCAAGCGTTCTTGACACCACTGCCCGGATTGACGGAGAGTGGGGGGGTCATCGCGGGCGCCGAAAGCTCGTCCTCGCTCCTTTTTTTTGTTATTGGTTTTTGTTGCTCCACCTTCCTCCCACCCTCCCTCCCCCCTCCCCCCTCCCCATCCACCCTTAACTTTGGTGCGATTATCAGCTCACTCCACGGGGGAAGCGCCCCGAAATATCCGAAGCCAATGAAGACCATTCGGGCCCTGGTCTGTTCTGAAGGCTCGCTGTCCCCGCGCAGGTCCTTGTTAGACCCTCCCCCTTTCCTCCCACACCTTCCTCCGCTCCCCCCCCTTCCGTCGACCCCCGCAGCATCGCAGGGGCTTGCCCCTGGGGAGATGCGCGAGGGCCGCGAGAAACCGGCAAGGATCCACCGGGGTTTGCGCCCAGGTCGGCCGACCCCGTCTGCGGCGGCGGCCCACGACCGAGGGCAGGGTGAGATGTGAGGAGGCCCTCCCCCGTTCCCCTGGCGTGTTATGGAGCTCCCCAGGCGTTTCCCAGGTAGGCCCCAACCGACTTGGGGGTGCCAAAGGAATTCTTGACGCTTCGCGTATCCCTACCACTGCCCCCATCGCGGTTGCCCTCTTCTGCTGGCACACGCTCAGCGACTTTTGGGGTCCGCGTTCGGTTCGCCCCCACCTGCGGGTTGACCCGTGGCCGCCTCTTTCTAATTATCTGCAGGTGCACTCTGCGCGGTGTCGCGCCAATTATCTGTCGTTGTGCCCCAGCCTCGGTCATACCGCCCTCTGGACTTCTCCTTGCGGGCCGCGAATCAAAAAAAAATATCCCCACCACTGGCACGTCCGATTGTGGCGTTTTGCCGTCGGCGTCTCAGCCGCTGGCGCTTGAAGAGTGCCGCTGGCGCAAATGCGACTGGCAACTCGACCCTGTTTCACCGTGCTGCAGCATGGGCCCCGTGCGCGGATGTGGGCATTGGCCCAACACCTTGCACGTGCGGGCTGAGGACACACCGAGTGATCTGAGCGCTGCGCGTGCCAAAAAAATCTATGGACGACATGCAGCGGGACTACGTCGCAGAGCTGGGCAGAGGCGTCAAAGGCGCCGACACCCCTGACAGCTGGGACCCGACCTTGCTACGCCCCTTCCTGGGGAGGGTCTACGGAGACAGAGTTGCGCCAAATCACCTCCCCAATGAGTTCCACTGGCAAGGTAAGCGACTCGCTGCCGCCCGCGTGGTCGCACACTTCTGCGCTCACTCGCCCGACAGCACAATTCGACCTAAACGGCTCCAGCATGCCAATCAATGGTCCGTGCGCGGCCCTTCCCCACTCCGCCACGCGCTGGATGCGCTTGTGGGGTTCCTGTCACAGCTCAGATCCGACAGACTCGCCTCTGGGTCCCTCTGCGAACTGGCCGAGGACGTCCCCCTCGAGAACACGCAGGAGCTATGCAGGCAGCTCGACTCGACAACACCCCCACCAGGGGGCACAGCGACAATGATTGGTGGAAGCGGTTCAACGACGAACAGAGGGGGAGCGCCCATCCACCTGCCGAGTTCCACACCTTTGCCGCCCACACGCTCGAGCTACCTGATTGGGGCAACGCCGCACCCTCCCCCTCGACGCCTGCACGGAGTGGGACCAGCCCCCCCCTCGCACGTAGGTCCAACTCCCGCTCCCCAGCGGACAGCCACTCTCGGCGGGCGAGCCCAACCGCCGACGGCCACGACACTGGTGCAACGGCCCCGGGCACGCCCCCCCCGCGCGTTGCCGGCGCAACGGGCTCCCCCTCGTCAACATGGGCGACGGCGCTGCTGCCCGCGGAGACGCTGATTGCAACGTTTCGTCGGCTCGCCAGACGGCAGACCCGCGCCCTCCCGGGGCCGAAAAGGAGCCCCCGGCGCCATGTCTCCAACCCCCAGCCCAGAATCACTGGCACTGCAGGTTGACTCCTCCGTCAGTCCCGGGGTGACGGACAGGCCCTGCGCCCCGCGCCCCCTGCTGGCAATCCTAGCGCCTCCCCAGTTCTGGCAGGACAAGACGACAGAAAGCTCACTCGCCTCCCTGATCGCAGGGCCCCGCCATCCCCCAGCACCTCCTGGCAGCCCTGGGCGGGCGAGGCGGCGCGGTAGGAGTGCGACTGGGGCGAGGGCCGGGGCGGGCGCCGCCCACGTCGGCATCGCGAGGCCAGCCGCAGCGGCCCCTACAGCGGCAACAGTCCAGGATGGTCAGGCTGGTCCAGCTGGGGGGCCGGCGACCGCTGGAGTCGGACAGCGCGCGCGCCCACGCACCCCCTGTCCCCGATGACCTCCCAACCCCTCGGTCCGGCCCGTGGCCCTCCTACGCGAGCGCGCAAGCTTACCCTTCGCAGAACCTGACCGACCCAGTCACGGACCTTTACATCGACATAACTCCTCTGGAGCCGATCAGTCTCACCACCACCCCTGGCGAGACCCCGGCCGAGACCGTGAAGCGACTCCAGAGGGACCTCGGGGAGCACTTCAACGGGGCATGGCACCAGTGGACGACCGGGCACCCCACCAAGTCCGGCCACTTCTGTGCCGACCCCATTCAGCAGGAAGCCGAATCTTGCCTGCGTTTCCTCAAAGAGTGGATCCGTCACGACTGCCACGCCATGGCGATGGGCGATGCGCTTCGCCTGGGCGTCGACTGGCCTGCGGCCCGTAGCCGGTTCAATGACAGGAACAAGGGCAAGGGCACCCCAGGTACAGCCAGAGGCAAGGGATCCCGAGAGGGCAATGACTCCAGCCGAACAAGGACGGGGAAACCTGGCGATCCTCGAGCTCGCGCCAGCACTGGGCGTACACCAATGCCCCTGTCAAGGCTCTCGCGGGCGCAGGCACGCCGGGCCTGCGCCCCAGGCCAGTGGCGCCCCACACTGTACATCAGCGATCCCATGGTAGCACCTACCCCCGCCGCGCGAGCGCGCCCGGTTGGCTTCTCCTGCGCGCCACTCCTGCGGCGCGCCTAATACCGCCCTGGGCGCGCCCAGCTGGGGCTGCTGGCTCGCCCCGGGCATTCGCGAGTTCCTGGGTCTTCACCTTGCGGCCCCCCCCCCCCTGGATGACTGCCGCTCCCCCCCCCCCCTGGCACGCCGTAGGCGAACCCGGCACTGGTCCTCTCCCTTGCGGACCTCCAGCACTGCTAGGGCCTTCGCGGCAGTTGCAGCCTCGTGCTGCCCAGAACAGCTGCTCCCTGGACGGCGCCTGGCGCCTGGCACTCGACGCCCCCCCCCCCCCCCGGCATCCGGAGGCCGCTCGCCGTTCCGCTGCCACTTGCCCTGGCGGCTGGCACCCTCCGCGCCATTGCGCCGGGCCAGTCTCGGGCCACCCGCCCCCGCCGCCCGTGCGTAGCCAACGCGCTCTTCTGCTGGCTGCCCCCCCCTGCCCCCCGCCCCCCGCGGCGCGCCGCCTCGACTGCGGCTGTTTGCTGCGCCTCCTCGCCCGCCCCCTGCCCGCCCACTTGCCCCCGCCCCCCCGCGGCGCCCTTCTTCTTCTGCGGCTGGTTGCTGCTATCCCTCGCCCGCCCCCCTGTCCGCCCCCTGGCCATTGCCCCCGCGCTTCCTCTGTCTCCGGCCCTCCATGCGGCCGCTGCCGCCGCCCCGCGCCCGCCCCGCCCCCGCCCCCCACGGATGCTTCGCAGTTCCTGCGGCTGTCAGCTGCGTCCTCACCCCCGCCCTCCGCCCGCCCCCGCGCCCCCGCCCCCCGCGCTCCTTCGCCCCGTGGGTCCAGGCCTGCGCGACGGACGGTCGCTTTCCTGGCCCTCTCGCGCCCGTCGCCCCCCCCCGTGGCTGCCCCCCCGCAGGAGGGGCCAGGGCCCACCCGCAGCGCGACAGTGGCCCTCGGCCCCCGTCGCTCCCCGCCCCCCCTGGCCGATCTCCTCGGCCCGCGCCCCCCCCCCGGGGCGCCGGGGCCGGCGCCGGCAGGTGCCGCTTCAGATGGCTACCTGGCTGGACGGGCTCTCGCGCCGTGGCCCTTGGCCGCTGGAAGCCACCCGTCGTTCGTGGGCCGGGATTCGCCCCGAGGCGCGCATCTTGCGCGGCCAGGGCCCCTGGCCGACCAGGCGCCCCGTGGATGGAGGGCGTTCGCCGAGGACGTTGAGTGACACTGCTGCAGTTTGCTTACCCGCGAATTCATAGCCATTTTGGCTTGGTACCTGGCCTCGCTTGGTCCTCGCCGGCGACGACTCGCACCTCCTGGACTTCGAGGCCCTCCCCTTGGACCTTCTCGGCATGGCGCGGATTTCTAGGGCTACTCCGTCGTCTTCGCCGCCCGAGTGGCTGCGTAGCACGCTGCGGTCGCTTTGGGCTCAGATCTAGGCCTCAACCAAGAGCTTGGCGCGTTTGCCTTTTCTCTTGACGGCGCGCGGTTGGACCGCGACGCTCGCGAACAAAAAGTATCTCCACCAGCCCATCCAGAAACGATGCCCAGGGGAATGGAGGTGATCAGGGAAGTGGGGGAGCAATCAGAAAACAAATGGCGGGGGAAGCCGTCATATACCCCAAGAGGGGGAGGATGCAGGAGGAACCGTCGTCGTCGTCGAGGCCCCAACCGACTTGGGGGCGCCGGGGGGGGGTCCGAGGAAATTCGCCCTCCCTCATCCGTTCCCCTCCCCCCTTCCCCCTCTGACCCTTCCCCCTCCCCTCAGCCGCCGCGCCCCCCGAGGTCGGGCCTTGATCGGGGATCATTCAAGCCCCCCTTCTTCCCGCCCACCTCCCTTCCCTCCCCCCATCCGTTCCCCTCTCCTCCTCCCCATCCCTTACGGTTGGGAACTTCGGCTCAGCGTGTCGCGCCGCTGGTTCTGGCCCACCACGCTTCGGCGTGACATGTTGTCCACGTCCTGGCCCCCGAGCGTCAACGTTCCGAGTTTTTCGCAGCCCCCCGCCCCGCGGAGCGGAGCCACGCGCTATCCGTTCGCTTGGCATTGGCGCGTCGCCAGGGCCGCCGCCGTGACACGCAAACAACAGTTCCCGACCGTAGACCCTCTTCCTCCCAAATGTTCCACACCCCGCTTCCCCTCCTCCCCTCCCCCCATCCGTCCCCCTTTCCCCATTCTCTCCCTTGCTCCCCCTTCTCTCCTCGTCCCTCCTTCCTCCTCCTCCTCCCTCTTCCCTCCTCTTCCCTCCTCAATCCTCACTCCTCCTACCTCAGACCCTCCTCCCTCCTCCTCCCTCTTCCCCTCCCTTACCCCCCCTCCTCCCCTCAGCCGCCTCCTTCCCCCGAGGTCTGGGGTTTCGGTGACTCGGTGTTCCCCTACGCCTGCGCCCGAGGCCGGGCGACGCCAGCCGCACAATTCTCCGTGCACCGGCCCCCGCCGCGAGGGCACCAGCCCCAGAATCAAGACCGGCGTACACACGCGTGCCCAGATCCCCTGACCCCCTCGGGCCATGAGAAGCCATGACGGGCAGTTCGTCGCTGTGTTCAGCCTCCTCGGGCCTTACCGGGCTTCGGGGCCGCCAAGGAACGGCTCAGGACGAAGATGCGTTCCTGGGAAGTCGGAGTGAGACTTCTGGAGGTCGATGTCATGAAAAAATCATGATCTCGGGGTCTGGGTCGCTGGATGTGAGTTTGCTGTTGGATCGCGACCGACGAGGCTTCGAATTCTGGTATTGGTCGCGACCGATTTGCTTCAAAATCGGTCGTGTTCGGTCGCGACCGATGCGGGGTGCCGATCGGCCGCTGTCGATCGCGACCGACAAAAATCGAGTATCCAATGATCTGGGTGTTGTGTGCGCCTTCCTGGGCCCAAGGCCCGGCCTGCCCCGGTCACGAGCGGCGAACGCATCCATATGCAGTCTGGACTCTGGGGCGCGATCCCGCGGATACGCGGTCGCACGGATACGTTCCGCGCGGGGCATCCGCGAAAAGACGCCTTGTATCCGCGGGGTCGCGGCCCAGGGGCTTGGCTTGCGAGGCCGCGAATATGGACATGTCTTTCGCCCAACACGTCCCCGGGTCGGTGCAGGTTGATTCGAAGGACAAGAACGGCGCAACCACGTTGTCGACGATCCGCACGGGTGTTTTTTGGATCGACATTGGACCCTTTCCTTGGCGCGCGGGGTGGCGCCACAGGCGCCGCCAGGGGGTCCAGCGCCGATCCAACAAAATCCACGCGGACCTCTGAAGGTTTAGGTTTGTGCAGTGCTTTCTTCCCCATGCAGTGGAGATCCAGGCATGGCCCATGCCAAGAAACACCCTGCTTGCCTCCAGGGTGCCCTGGGTTTCTTGGGCTTCGATGGTTTTGCTATGGAAAGCGTGACGCTCCCACGCCACAAATCAATGGACCTCCTTGGGTCTCAGGGTTCGGTTTCTTGTGGAAGAATTCTAGTGGACTGGCCTCCACTGTATGGACGGTTGGCGACCTCCCGCGAGGGTCCCCCTGGGACGGTGGCCAGACCTGCGTCTTCCGCTCGTCGTTCGGCACGGTGTTCGCCAAGATTGCGGGGTCGAACGTCGCGGCGGCCGTGCAGAGACCGTCTGTGCCATGGCTGCTTCCGCCCTCCTCCCTTCTCCTCGGTCTCCTCCGGGCCTCCCCCACCCCTCTTCATGAGCTCCTCCTCGCTGCGCCACCAGATGTGCCAGTCGGTCGGGCCAGGCGTTTCGCCTGAGGCTTCCCCGGAGCTCGTGATCGGACAGTTCTGGATGTCCAACCGTGGTACGAATGGAGTGCGGGTCGTGTCCAAGTCCAGTTCCTGCCCCTGCGCCGTGCTCGTTTTCTCATATACGACCATCGCCACTGCCATAGCGCCGCACGCATTCGTCTTTCGCAGCCTCCAGCAGTTATCCAGATGTAGAGGTGGGTGCGTTTCGACATGTGGCTCCCGCCTTGCATCTCGTCCTCGAGATCTCGTCCGAAAGCGTGACATGATCGACAGCTCCACATCCTGAAGGCGGTGTTTTTTTCCTGGCAGACGAATCGCGAGCCGTGGGGCGACCGTGCATCCTGAGCTCCTGCAGCTCAAGCCTTCCCCGGCACCTCCACGGGTGGAGGGCGGCCCCATTTCAAGACAGTGCTCTCGCGTCCGCGCCGCGCCCGCTCGTCCTTCTCGGCTGCCACCAGCCCGGAACCAGGAGGAAAAGAAACACACAGACACAATTAATCGTCGACTCCCCGGAAAATATGGGAACATATGGGAAGTGGGGGGGAAGACAAAACCCAGAAAATATAGAAAAATATGGGGAATAGTTTTATTTGTGTGTATGTATTTGTGTGTCCTGGGGCCCCTTCACAGAACCAGAGATGGAGGCTGAGCACCTCGCGAACTGTTTGTGCGTTGCAGTGAGCGGCTTGGATAAGGAATACTTACTTTTCGAAAGGGGCTCGGTCGTTCCTCAGGCTTGCATGCGTTATTTCTTATGCGTTATGTAGTATGTATCGTTCCTTATGCTTTATTCCTTGGGATTCAAAGGGGCATCGTTCCTTATTTATCGTTCCTTAGGTCAGGCCGATGACTGTATGACGGCACGCGGCTATCGCATCTGAACGCACAACCGCTGGCTCTCTTGCCAAGACGCACGGTGCACCCAAGATCTAGGCCCATGGGCCCCTTACCCTTCCAGCGGGCCCCCGCTGAGGTGGCACGGAATGCTTCCGCTGATTTGTGAGGAGAAGGCGGAGCTAGTGGATTCGAGTACACATTCTGGGAGGTTTGAGTCAGGCTCGATGTTGGTATATCCGAAGTGGAAATCCAGCCGAATCTGTCCCACTCACGTCTACTTCAACTTAGTAGACGTAGTCTGGGCTGATCCAGCTTAAATCGGCTTGGTGGCCCCTCAATCGGGCCTATGAGTCCCAAGTCCTTCCCACGAAGACCTCCCAGCAGCTGCCTCCAAATGTGGGCGTATTGCAGCATCAGTGGTGCGCGCTGGGGTTGTTATGGTTCTCCTCGCTCCCCGCCTCCATCTCCTCCTCGTTCTCCTCGTTTTCCTTCCGCAAGTCGGGTCTGGGGCAGCTGTCAAGCACCCGAGGCTTGGCATGCATCAAGAACGAAGACGGTTTACAAAGAGGATGACCCAACCCAGGGGCTTGCAACAACTGCATGCCCATCAGCTCCCCTGCAAATGGTTACATAATGTCTGCCAGGAAACAGGTGCTGCGCATGAAGGAGACAGGAGCAGAACAGCGCATATGGCAGACACAAGTCGGCTTTAGACCTGGATGCAGTACAGCCGATTCGGCGTTCATTGCGCAGCGAGAGTTAGAGGAGACGCGGGCGGCCCGCGATGGAAGGAGTATCTTCATTATTCTTGATTGGGCGTAGGTGAGTCGGTAGTCACTTCTTTGCCGAGGTTTAGATGCTCAGCTAAGTTCGTGCACGCTATCTCCAGCATGTGCGACAACCGCGCTTTCACAGTATCAGAATTCGGCTCCATGAATGGAGAGAGAAAGCAGCCGTATGGAATTTGCCAGGGCTGGACCCTCGGTTCATTCCTCTCCAGAACCGTCATGACAACCTTCCTTCGTGATGCTTCACTATATAGTTGCGCGGGCGACTGCGTCGTGAACTGCGGGCGGTGCAGTGAGAGACTTGGCGTACGCAGATGGCACGCTTCAGGTCGGCAACAACCCCGAAGTGATCGAGGAACAGATGCGCTGCGTCGAGAGATGCGGCCGAACTATGGATTGCAACCCGTTTGGGAAAACAAGGCGAGCTGATGCAGATCCAGACCAACGAGAAAGTAATGAATCATGTGGGTCAGCTCGTCGTCGACAAGGAGTCGCTGGTCTATTTGGGCACATTGCTTGCTGATGGAAGGAAAGGTGTTGAACGAAGCAGGAGGACTGGAAGTGTAAAGCGTGCTTTTCAGACATCGCATACTATTTCGTTTCATTCTTTTTGTGGGAGGAAGTAGAAGGTGAAGATATTCAATGCGCGCGTGGTGTCAGAATTGACGAGCGTCGTTTGTGCAGCATGCTTCAACAAGGGAGAGCGACGTAGATTGAACAGCTTTCAGGGTACATGTCCGCGACGGGCTTTCTGGCTACAGCAGCGATTCATCATCACCGTGTCGAACGCCACTGTATTGAGCACATCGATCCAGTCCAAATCGAGCCCTCTCCAGTCGGCAGATGATCTCCAAGGGTCATCTCGCATGCCGACCAGGAACGGATCCTGCCAAAGCTTCAGCATTTTAACCAGATTCGCTGGTCGCCCGTTGGGCCGCAGGCTCCAGAAAGCGAGGCGGACTGCGACAGGCGTGGGGGAATCCTGTTCGGAACGATTGTCTGGAAGCCGTTGGTTATAACGAGCGACTTGCTGCCTACTTCCGCCCAGCGTGCGGTGCAGATCGCACGTGGGAGCCAGCCGTCAAAGGCTGGCCCAGACGTTGAAGGCAATCCACGTTGCGGTTGCCTCCTCCTCTCCTCCTCCTCCTCCTCCTCCTCCTCCTCCTCCTTCTTCTCCTCCTCCTCCTCCTCCTCCTCCTCCTCCTCCTCGCCCGCGCGCCACACGTGCCTCTTCGGCCGCGACGACGGCCTCGACGAGATCAGCCACTACCTTCAATGTCGTCGCGCCCTTCGTTGGGTCACAGAGCCGCCCAGAGTTGTGCACAGGGAGGTTCTACATCGCCTCGGGCTCGGCGCCCGCGGAGACTATCCGAAGGAGGCCGCCCACAAGTTCCCGCGCCAGACCACGGTGCGCAACCTCGTCCTCCTGTACTACCTTTACTTGGAAGTCAAGCTTTCCATAACCTCTACGACAAACCGCCCTGGACAGGACCGCCACAGGACCGCCCTGGACAGGCTTAGCCATCACTTCTAAGCCTGGCCCCGCCCGCCGGCCGAGCCAGACGAACCGCATGAAGGCACTAGCGCTCCTCCTCCTCGCCCGCCGCCCCCTCCCCTCCTCCTCGCCTCCTCCTCGCCCTCCTCCTCCTCCCCCCCCCTCCTCCCCCTCCCCCTCCTCCCCCTCCTCCTCCTCGCCCTCCTCCTCGCCCTCCTCCTCCTCGCCCTCCTCCCCCTCCCCCTATGAAGCAAGTGCGTGTGACTGCAGGGCCGCATTTCAGCTCCCTTCCTGCTCACGCATCGTCTGGTGCAAAGTCTACCGGATCCAGATCAGCGACCGGCCCTGGCCCCGCACAAGACGCCAGTCACCATCTACGGCCTCTGGCACCGCGCCAGCTACCTGCGCCTCGCCAAGCCTGTTGCGTTAAAGCCGAGCTAGCCACACTGGCTCCAGTGCCCAGGCTTCACTTGGGGCGTCGAGTCCGCAAGCGGGGCACAGCGCGCTGATGTTTCCGCCGAGCCCGCCCACCTCGAGGCCGCCACGGCCGAAGCGGATATTGGGGCCGACTGTGGCCTGCGCAAGTTCGGCCCCGGCATGACCCCCAGAGGCCCCCCACGACGTCGCCGACCATGGTCGACGCCCTGCTCATCCGCCGGCTGACGCTGCGCGGGCGCTCGCACGAAGGGCGATGATTGCTGCCCCTGTCCGCCGCTTCTGTTCTTCGGGCCCCCTCTGCTGGCCGCCATGGGCAGTTCCTGTCGCCTGGCTGCGCGCCTTCGCCACCGCGCGACCTGACGCCCGCGGGGCCCCCGCCCTCGTGGAGGTGCCCCAGCTGCCCCGACGGACCCGGTGTCGAGACGGCGCCGTTTCCGTCCTTTGTCCAGGAGGGAAAGAAACACACACAGACACAATTAATCGTCGATTCCCCAGAAAATATGGGAAAATATGGGAATTGGGGGGAAGACAAAACCCAGAAAATATGGGAAACTATAGGGGATATTTCCATTTGTGTGTATTTATTTGTGTGTCCTGGGGCCCCTTTATTCTTCCTCCCCCCTTGCGTCGTGTCGCATGTTGTTCGCCGCCTTCCTCAAGCGAGGCAGTGGGCCCCCAGAACTGGCGTTTACTGGCCAGCCTTGCCCTGTCATGTTGCTCCCTTGGTCACGCTTGCTGGATGGATGTGTGTTGCCCCAGTGCTTATGATGGGGGTGTTTTTTCCCGCAGTTTCGTCCTCCCTCTTCCCTCCCGCGAGCAACAGGCGACAAACGGTTGCACCCGACAAGCGACCGCCCGAGGCAGTTTGAGTCCAGCATGGAACTCGTGGACGGAGCTCTGGTGGGGCAGTATCTGTATCCGCGGCCTCGCGGGCCGGGCCCCTGGTAAGCGACCCCGCAGATATGGCCGCGACCCCGTATCCGTGCGACCGCTCATCTGCGGGGTCGCGCCCTGGGGTCCAGGCCGCGAGGGCGCGGGCTCGCATATCGTCTATGCTGTCCGTGTAGTGCTCACTCCCGGCGGCAATCCATAAAAGGTGGATGCCCACCTTTTGCCTCTCAGTGGGGATTTGTACTGTCAATCTTGAGACGCCTCGCGCAACCCTGGAACAACAAAACAAAATGTTCGCCGCTCGTGATCCCCCCGCCCTTCGCCGATGGATCGGTCGAGGTTGCTCGTGCTCGCGGCCCTCTTCTCGTGCTTCGTGGGCCTCCTCTTCCTGGCCGCGGACCTCGGCGGGCCCTGGGCGGGCACCATCACGGGCTCGCGGGACGAGGCCTCGCGCGCCGGGTGGTCGTCGTCATCGTCGATGGGGGGGGGGGGGGGGGGCGGCGGAAGGGGCGGAGCAAGGAGGGAGGAGGGGCGGGAGGGAGGGCGGCGGAGGAGGGAAGGGCGAGGGAGCGAGGCTGGAGAAAGCAGAGGCGAAGGAGGAGCGAGGAGGAGGAGGGGGAGGAGGAGGAGGAGGAGGAGGAGGAGGAGGAGCGAGGAGGAGGAACGAGGAGGAAGGAGGAAGGACGAAGGAGGGAGGAGAGAGGAAGCAGACAGGCTAGGTGCGCTCGCGCCATGTCTGACATCGAACCCCTCCCACCCATCCCTTCCCATTGCATTCATGTTTTATCGGCCGACTCGTGTCATAGCGGACCTGAAGTTCCAAGAGGGGCACCATCATGTAATGCACAATCAGTGAAAACATGAGTTGCGTAAATTGGAGGAAAGGTTGCGGATGAACAGGAAAATGAGCAGGAGGAAAAAGAGGATGAGGAAGCAGGAGGACGAGGAGGAACAGCAGCAGCTGCAGCAGCAGGAGCTGGATTGGAAGAAGCGGGAGGAGCAGGGGGGCCAGGGGAAGGCGGAGGGGGAGAAAGGATGGGGGCGGCAACGATGAGGAAGGACTCGGATCCAGAAAAGTAGCCCGCGCTGGCGCGAGAGTGCCATTCTGAACGACGGGGACAAAGCGCCGATCCTACAATGAGGTCCACGCTGCAGCGGCAGCTTCAATTTGAAGAACCGACAACTACAGGATTTATACAAACATCACCAGAAAAAATGTTTGAAATCTTGTGTGTGAAAGCCGGTGCGTAGAGATTGCCGAACATCTTCCGGGCAGAGGAAGGGGAGAGAGGAGAGTAATGTTCGCCGTAGTATTTGTGTGGGGCGGGGAGGGGGAGGCGGCCAGGAGGAGTGATGGGACAACGGAGTAGGAGGGAAGAAGGACGGGAAGAGGCAGGTAAGAGAGAATTGGAAGAGGAGGAGGAAGAGGAGAAGCAGGAGGAAGGTAAAGCACCAGAGCAAACCCAGAACACATTAAAGATGGTGCAATCCAACATCACGTCCTAAGCCCTCTCCTTTTGAAAAGGGTCAGCTCTACATCCCTTGATCTATCCAGCCGCATGCAACCAATCCACCACCGCGTCCGCGAATTTTCATGTGTGGCGGACATCTGGGCACCGCCAAGAGGGCCATCACATGTGGCACGCTCGTCCTTTCTTCTTGAGGAGCTCTTACAGGGCATATTTAGGCCGCCTTGGGGCTGTATCGGGCTTCTCTGGGGCAGTCTTGGGAGGTCCCTGGGCCATCTTGGCCGTCTTGGGGCCCTATTTAGCCGAATTCTGGACTCTTGTGACCATTTGGGGATCTCTTGGCCTGGGCGTCGTTGATCATGTTGTCGCGGCCGATCTGATCCGATTCTAACTACGTGCCGATGCAGCCCGATCCAGCGCACATCCTGATTCGATCCGACTTCCTGATTCGATGCTGATTGATCTTGCCTTTCCATTCCTCCTCGCATTGGACGTTCCAGAAGGGTCCTCGCCTTCGATGGATCGAGAAGTTGGCATCCCTTCCTCGGCGGAAGGCAGCGGAAGCCGGCGGAAGCAAAACGAGGCCGCCTCGGCCAGCGGAAGCTGGCGGACGGCCGGCGGAAGTTGGCGGAAAGGGAATGCTGCCCTCCTAAGAGATGCCATGTGTTGGTGGGCGGTCCAGGGCTTCTGGAACCCACCATCTGTTGCCTGGGGCCAGGGTTCTGGGGACTACGTGGTGTTCGTCGTGCTCGCCGTGCGGACGCTGGGGCTGCTGCTGCAGAACCTGGCCATGCGCATGGTGCAGACCGAGTACGAGGACCCGGGGAGGGGAGGTATCCGGGACCAAGCGCTTGGGTTCGGTCTGTCTACACCGACGTTGGTCGAAGCGACCGCCGCGGCTGATCTTCCTCCTCAATGCTTCGATTGCTGCGGGCACGGGTGTCAAATACGACGCTGCCGCCCCCATCCCCGGCGGTCAACGCCACCAGGGAGGGCGGAAAGTGAAGCAGCATTTGAAGCAGAAGAAGACAAGAAGCCGCAGGACCGCAGGAGTCGAAAGAGATATGATCAGGGGAGGGCACGGATAGAATGGCCTGGTGGGGCCAGAACAGGAGGAGAAAAGCGGACAGCCGGGAGCCTTGAGACGGGGTCAATGCAAACGGGGGTCAGTCAGAGCGCCGGATTTTGCAGGATCCTGCAGAGCGAGGGTTGCATTAACTTGGGCTAGGGCGCAGGATCCTGCAGGATCCTAGGATCCTGCAGGATTTGCAGGATCCTGCAAAGCCCGACTGGCCCATGTTTGCATTGACCCAGGTCAGTTGGTTCCCGCGACAGACTGCTGCTCGCAGGACTCGCTATCTGAAAATTGAAGACAGTTTGCTAACATGGCACTGAAGACAGAGTCGAGTCGACCCCTTCCTCCATCTTGCGGGCGCCAGGGGCTACTACACCGGGAAGGCCGATGTCGCAGGGAGCGAACGCAACAGACAGTGTACACCCTGCGAAATGCTTTAGAAATCATGGGTTAAGAAACTCATAGTCTCAGAATTTGAATACAAGCCCAGAATGTCTATTCAAACTTTGGGATTTACATTGAAACATTAAGAATAATCGAGACTCTGGCCGAAAACTTGGGTTTTCTTAAGCATCGCCTAGAGTGTATCAATTTGAGTTCGGCTTTTGTTTTGGGTGATTTCTCGAAAGTCAAAAAATCATTGCGGTATTTGTCCTGGCCTCGAGGCCGTGGCTGTAGAATTTCCAGCGGCGATCCGCTCCCCAGAACCACTCTCCCCCTTCCCCCCTTCTCGGGGCGCCCAAGACGGGGGGTGGGATACCAGCGCCAGGGCAATGAAAACCTGGACTTCGGCGGCCCCCCTTCTTCTCTCCGCACGTCCCCTGTCTTCCCCCCCTGATCCGCGCACTGGCCGCGAGCCATGCCGCGACAGCCCCCCCTCTGCCCGACCTCCGGCGCACCCGGCGCGATCCACGGGGGGGTGAGGAGAAGTTCGCTTTTTGTGTCACGAGGAGGAGGAGGAGGAGGAAGAGGAGGAGGAGGAGGAGGAGGAGGAGGAGGAGGAGGAGGAGGAGGAGGAGGAGGAGGTGGGGCCCAAAAGGTGTACGACATGCGTGCGCTTCGTCGTCCCCCCCCCCGACCGCCCCCTCCCCCCCCACCCCCTTCAACAGTGCCCGACCACGGCCTCCCCCCCCTCTCCGGCGCACCTTCTCTGCCATGCCATGGGGGGCGCTCCGCCCGCAGCGTCCGCCGAGGCGCTGCACGCGCGCGCCCCGCCCGCCCCGCGAGTGCAGCACACAGGGCTCGTTTCGATTCCTCCGATTCGATTCGATTCGATTTCGATGGTTTCCGATTTCGATTCGATTCGACTTCGGACTCCGACTTGGGATCCGATTACTCATTGGAGGCGTATTAGCCTGCCGATGTCCGCCGATTCGACTTTTCCCGACTCGGCTGCCGATTTCCGTCGATCCGATTCGTGTCGATCGCAGATCGGACTTGTCGATTCGATTCTGGGCTCTCCTGGCACAGGGAGCCTGGATGCTCACGGCGGCAGGGATAGCCAGAACCAGCATAAACGAACACCACCTCACAAGCGGCTTAGACCAAAGCTCAAGGGGGGCACGTAGACTTGCTCGCTTCTCGCACACACGTGTGGGCCGCTTGGGAGGGCAGAGAACATCAGGAGCATCAGAAAAGACACCTCCAATACCTCCATGCACCTCCGACTGGTCCCCGCAACCTTCAATCGCCAGCGCACCCAGTCTCCTCCCACGGCCCTCGGCGTCGGGGTGTTGGCCCGCGGGGTTCCTGCGGTGCAGGCGGCCCCCCGGGCTACGACGCCAGATCCACCAAGATCCTGGCTGCCGTCCGGCGATGGGTTCCCCATAGTTCAACAGTTCGAGAAAGGCGAAGAATGGAAGACCGGGGGCCCAGGGCGTGGTCACTACCGCCCGTCAGGGCGCCCCCGAGGAGCATTGCCTTTCCAGTTTCCCGAAATTCGGAATTCGAATTAATGATGGGACACTTAGAATCACTACGAACATATTTTTCTTGTTCAAGTGATTCTAGGTTCCCCATAATTCAAAATTGTGGGAAGCTTGTAACCACTACACAGGAGGGGCCTTTCGTAGTGAGTCCCCGTAATTCGGCACGATGGGAAACCTGGAATCACCAGTCCCGGTGGGGTCCCCGGCAGTCGTCCAGCCATGGGTTTCCCATTATTCAGAAGTGTGGGAAGGCTGCACTCACTACAACAATTGTTGGTTTGTCGTAGTGATTCCAGGTGTCGCATAATTTGGAAGTATGGCAAACATGGAACCCCTTACAAACTAGGTGCGCTTTACATAGTGATTCCTGGCCCCCCGTAGTTCGGAATCATGGGTAACCTGGAGTCACCAGTCCAGGAGGGGTCCCCAGCAGTCATCCGGCCATGGCTTCCCCATAATTCGGAATGTTGGGACGCCTGGAATTAGTAAGAAAAATGTGTTTTCATAGTTGTCCAGGCTTCCCTTAATTCGAACGTATGAGAAACCTGGAATCACCAGTCCTGGTGGGGTCCCCGGCAGTCGTCCAGTCATGGGTTTCTCATATTTCGGAGTTATGGGGAATTTGGAATCACTACAAACAGGATGGTTGCTCGTAGTGGTTCCAAGTTTCCCATCATTCGGAATGGTGGAACACCTGGAACTACTACCGAAAATGTTGTTTTTTCCTGGTGGTTCCAGGTTTCCTAAGCCGGAACTGTGTGAAACCTGGAATCACGACCAATAGATCTATCTATCTATCTATCTATCTATCTATCTATCTATCTATCTATCTATATATATATATATAAATATATGTATACATAGTGGCTGCAGGTCTCACATAGTTTCACCCGCCCACCCCAGCGACCTCTTCTGTTTGGTTTTTCGACACTTGGAATTTGAAGTTAGGGCGATTGTCCGAATTCTGGGAAATTGCCAGCCCCCGTTTCCCCGAGTGCACCTGGAATCATTACGGCTCCCCCTTTTGTAGTGATTTCTAGGCGCCACATAACTCGGAATCTTGGGGAACTTGGAAGAGCTACAAAAAAGGGTTCGTAGTGATTCCAGGTTTCCCATAACTCGGGATGTTGGGAAACTTGGAACCACTACAATAGAGGGGGGTGGGGGCCGTAGTGATTCCAGGTTTCCAACAATTCGGAATTATGGGGAACTTGGAATCACCGGTCCCGATGGGGTCCCCTGCAGTCCTCTGGCCATGGGTTTCCCATAATTCGCAATTATGGTGAACTTGGAATCGCTAAAAAAAGGCTCTTGGTAGTGATTCTGGGTTTCCCATAATTCGCAGGCCTTCGGCTTGTAAGTTAGGGGAAGCCTGGAGTCTTCATACAAACTTGTTGTAGTGAATGATTCGATCCAGGCTTCCCATAATTCTGAATTTTAGGAAACCCATAGCCGAACGACTTCCCGAGGGAGGCGAGGGAAGGGAGAGAGGACAAGCTAGGTGCGCTCGCGTCATATCTGACGTCATACCCCTCCCTCCCTTCCCTTACCATGGCGCAGATACCCTCTCGATTCGCACAGTCGGATGTCGAGCAGGGCAATGATCCCGCGAGGGTACGCGATGCATGGTAGAGCACGGCATGGCATGGCGTAGAAGAGCATGGCAGGGCATAGCATGTCATAGCATAGCGTGGCATTGCGCAGAAAAGCGTTGGACCCAAAAACATCGCAACGCAAAACATGGCATCGCACAGCGGCGCAGAACACAACACCGCACAGCATGTCATGGCATGGTGCCAGGTTCCTTGGAGGGTAAGTGGATCGTCTTCGAGAGGTCTGGGCCAGTCTGGAGTCGTGGCTCCATGTCTAGCTCCTTGGGCTCCCCGAAAAGCTCCACACAAGGCGGGGCTGATGGAGAGCACCCGCTGGCTCTACCAACATCGCTTCTCAAAGCAAAAACTGGGTTTCCGCTTGCTATTTCCTGGAAGCGACGACGCCCCCAATTGGGGGCTTCCGCTTCCCCCAAAATCAACGAATCAACACCGAATGTGTAATCACTTCCGATCGTTTTTTCGGGGGGGGGGGGGGGCATTTTCTAGATTTTGGGGCCTATTCGGAAAGACCGAGAACGCCCGCGTTGCAGCGGGAACACGATTTGGAACAACTAGAGGCGCAGAAAGGGGGCCAGCGCTTCAGAGAGAACCACAGTTTGTAAATCAACCCAAGTGATAACCCACTTCCTGGGAATCCTGCGCGCAAGGAAAACATCGTCCGGACGTCATCAGGGGAGAGAGGAGAGCAGTATTCAGATTGTGTCATTGTGCAGGCGGGGCAGGTGATGGAAGCAGTGGGGAGGAAGAGGAGGACGAGGAAAGGGGGGAGGAGGGGGAGGGAGAAGGGGAGGAGGAAGAGAGGGAGGAGAGGGAGCAAGAGGGGCAGGAGATGGAAGCAGCGAGGAGGAGGAGGAGGAGGAGGAGGAGGAGGAGGAGGAGGAGGAGAAGGGGAAGCGGCCTGCCGTCCTGCCTCCCTGGGAGCGGAAGGGCCTTCTCCTCCCGCCTCGCCCCGCCCCCCTCCTCCTCCGCGCGCCGCCGAGCGGGCGCCCCGTGCCGCGGCAAAGCGTGTGGCGCCGGGGGTGCAGATCCGGAGCGGTTGCGAAGCAGTGTCCGTGGAGCACTCCGCGAACCGCCCCCGCGTGGCAAAGCGTGGCTCGGGGCCGCAGAATAGCCGCGGGAGCTGGGCTGCCGTTTGAAGTAGCCACGGACGTTCCCAATTATCTGCATCTAGGTTGCATCACGCGAGGTTGCGCCGTGGCTGTCGAACAAAAAAAAAACTCTGCGAACCACCCCCGGACCTCCAAGGCGACCATGGGCAAGAGGAAGGGCGCCACAGCCGGATACTCCGAACGAGCCCAGCGAAGCTGACGGGACGGGGGCTGGGCGAGACGGGGTATTGCGGGAGCGGGGGGGGGCGAGATCTGTTGCATCCTCGATGCATGGTCGCCTCGTGAGCCGGTTCGTTGATCCGCTCTTTGTTATCCCCCCCGTCGTCCGCTTTGAAAAACGGCTAGCGCTAGTAGTGGATACCCGGGCATCCGACGCTGGGGGGATATAATATTGTTTTTGCCGCGGCGATGTGGGGCACAGCGCGTCCGAGCCAGAACGGACCACAGCCTAGTTGGTTGCGCGATGTTGCGCGCCTGTGCAGCGGGAAAGAAGGAGGGCTGCCGCGGAGGGAGGAGGCCAGCGCATCAAGCACTTCACTCGGGCGGGTGGCACTGGGGGGTGATTTAAATGGTGGGTGAAGAGAAGGGCCCCATGTGTGGATCCCTTTCTTCAGCCCACGTGTAGGTCACCCCCCATGACCACCCGCCCGATTCACACGCGGTGGTGGCGACGTCGGACTCCACGTAGGGGGCTTTGGGGGGGGAGGGGGAGGGCAAGAGTGCCTGTCATGACTGCTCCACGGCGCTTCTCTCCAGGGCCAGAGCTCCCGTCATGGCGCTGTCCCCTCTCCCGAGGAGCTGCACTGGGAGTCGATGAACACGTTCTTCCTGGCCGTGTGCATGCTCGCCAACGCTGTGGCGGTGGCGGTCGCCACGGTTTTCGTAGGAACATTGGACATTTGACGATTGGCGCCTGAGTCCAAAGAGTCCTCCCCCTTATTCTCCCACTTCTGCTTCTGCTGCTACCGCTCCACATTATCTTTTCCTTCCTGCTCTTGCTCTTGTGGTTTTGTCCAACATCCTGTGGTGTTGGGCCCTCGTTTTGAAGAGACAGCGCCCCGCGCCAATCCTTCTCCTTCTTCTCCTCGCCCCTCCTCCCCTCCCGCTGCCCCCTCCCTCCATCCTCCTCCTCTCATCACCAGCATCGTCATCATCATTATCAGCATCATCCTCATTAGCAGCAACAGCATCAGCAGCATCATACTCATCAATATCACAAGCATCATCATCATCATCATCATCACCATCATTATCATTATCATAATTGCCATCATCTGCATCCGCATCAGCATCATCATCGTCGTCATCGCCATCATCATCATCATCATCAACATCATCAGTACCATCATCGTCATTATCAACATTTTCATGTTCATCATCATCATCATCATCATCATCATAATCATCATCATCATCATCATCATCATCATCATCATCATCATCATCATCATCATCATCGTCATCGTCATCATCATCACAATCACCTGGGTCCCATTGGCGCCGCCCGCATGTGGGCGCCATTCCCGTTTCGGCACACCCCTCACACGTTCCGTGGCTCCACAGGGAGCTCCACCGAATGCCCCAGTGGCGCCGCCCGCATGTGGGCGCCACCCCCGTTTCGGCACACCTCTCACACGCTTTCGTACCCCCAAAGGGAGCACCACCGAATGCCCCAGTGGCGCCGCCCGCATGTGGGCGCCACCCCCGTTTCGGCACACCTCTCACACGTTTGGTGGCACCACAGGTAGCTCCATTGAGGGCCCCAGTGGCGCCGCATGCATGTGGGCGCCACCCCCGACCCAGAACACCCCTAACACGCTTCGTGGTCCACTAGGGAGCTCCACCGAAGGCCCCAGTGGCGCCGCCCGCATGTGGGCGCCACCCCCGACCCGGAGCACCCCTAACACGCTTCGTGGCCCCATAGGGAGCTCAACCGACGCCGCCGGCATGTGGGCGCCACCCCCGTTTCGGCACACCCCCCACACGATGCGTGGCCTCATAGGGAGCTCCACCCAGGGCACCAGTGGCGCAGCCCGCATGTGGGCGCCACCCCCATGTCGGCACACCCGCTACACGCTTCGTGGCCCTATAAGGAGCTCCACCAAAGGCACCAGAGGGAGGGTTCACATGCGCCCCCCTCCCCAAATCGGCACACCCCTCACACGTTTTGGGGCCCCGAAAGGAGCTCCATCGAAGACGATCGGCACAACTGCCGCACTCGCAACTGCATATGGTTGGGTCCTCCTCCTCTCCCATGGTTCCCACCATTCGTCCGCCTCCTCCTGCACCTCCTGCTACTCCTCCTCCTCCAGCTACTCTTCGTCTTCCTCCTTTTCCTCCTCTTTTCCTCCTCCTCCTCCTTTTCCTCCTCCTCTTCCTCCTCCTCCTCCTCCTCCTCCTCCTCCTCCTCTTCCTCCAGGAGCAATTCTGGCCCAAGACCCGCCTGAGCCCCGACAGCGCGACCGCCCATCGAACCCCAGGGCAGCGCAGCGGGGCTGGGCCGACATGGACCAGAGCTCTGCATGGACACGCTCCTTCTCTGTCGGCTTCTGAGTAGGAAGATGATCTTTCACAACGTGCAGAGCGCGGATTTGTCGCGCCTTGAGGAGATTTCGGAGAACACGGCGAGCAACGACCTAGTCATATACATTGGCACTGGAAAAACTGCCCACATCGAGACGGAGACCATTCAATGCCAGTTGCCGCAACACCGAGCAACTCAATTTGGGTGAAAGCAGAAAGGTATCTAATCGTTCGTGTGGCCTGGCCTTCTTGTACGGCAGCAGGCTGAATGGCACCGTGATTCGCATTCCAGTGCCACCTGGGTCTCGTGGGATATCGGGCAGACTCGGAATGGCGACTTTTTCATTTGGGCAGAATGCGACCTAGCAGCATTCGTTGTTTATGTTCCACCAAAGGGAATTGCTGCTAAGATATTACACGACACCGTCAAACCGGCGCTCGGTTGGATACAACAAGAGATGGACAGCATGGGCGGTTTTTTCTTTCCATTGATTGCTGGCGACCTCAATTGTGCCTTCGGAGTGCGCACAGACATCACGGGCAGGAAGCACGTGCGCACCAGCAACGAGGTCGGAGCACAAGCAGCAGCATTCAAAGGCACAGTATCGGGATGTGTACGTGAATTTCTGGAGGAAAACCACATGACAGGTGGAGAATCGTTTTGGTCATCAGGAGCGACTTTCTTTCCAAGCATGCATCGGAGCAAGATCGATCACATCATCATGCCACAGACCGCCCCCTCACGCGTCGCGTGAACCAACGCGTTGCAGGGCCTGGGAAGGCGGTTGCAAAGATTTGTGTCCACACATCTACATGATCATGTACCAGTGCTGGTGGAAATGGACGCGGGAGTGACGCGAGCCCACCAGGCAAAGTTCATTCCGCCAGCGAACCAGGATGCAATGAGGGCAGCATATTCGAGAGTGTACAGACGGCATTGGTTTCTTGAAACGGTAAAGGGTAAGGCGCAGCAGATACCCGAGGAAGAGCGGCGTCAAATTTAAGACAGCGGCGACGCGCAGACAGCTTGGAACCTTCCCTCGGAACGCATCAGAGAAAGTATGGCAGAGCACTTTCCGCGACAAAAGAACTCCATCATAGATTGCGAGCGGATGCGCGAACAGCGGATGTTGTTGATCAGAGAACGAGGTGAGCCGAGGGCACGTTTGCATCGCACGGGCAGTAAAGCTTTCAAAGGCAACGGGCCCAGCGAGTGCGACCGAATCGAGCAGCAGCTGAAGACGATCACGCGACGTATGCAAGAGCTTCGTCGCCAGCAGTATGGCTAGAAGGCGAGCAGGCTGGCAGAGGAGATCCACATGGCCTGGCGCAGCGGCAAGATGGCTGAAACGCACAGGCTGAGGAATGCAATGGCGGGCGCTGGCAAGGGACAGAGCGAAGGTTTCCATTCTCAGCGCGACAGACGGTGACCGCGACAGAATGGAGCATCGGATCAGCCAAAGCCCCACAGGATGGTGGAATGCAGTGCGCACGCCTGAAGTGGGAAGGGCGAATCGCCGACCGCAGCGTTTTGCCTCACCTGCACCGGCCACAAAACCCCCCAGAACTTGTTCCGAGTGACAGAATGGGGCAGATAGGCTACCACCGACGGGCACCTAAGCGACGAGCAGGACCAGCATGGAGTGCTTTGGCAGAGGCTCTTGGGATTTGTATATATTACAAAATGCGCAAGCCTCCGAGGCGACGAAGCTACACGCCAGAGGCGTTCAGTCGAAGATATGACGATTTGCTCGCATTGACCAGGATCGTCGGATCCGCGCCGGCCACGGCAATGAGATCGCAATCGTTCGCGCAGGCTAAGAACAACGGAAAGCTAGGCATCAAAGGGCAGGGGGTGACCCACCGTTTCGACGCGTTCGGCATGTCGCTATTCGGGACATCGGGCATCGCGTCGGCCTGTTCCACCATGTTGCCCGCGGAGAATTGCGAGGCAGGAGGAGGGAAGGGTGCGCATTTACGCTCTCAGCCGCATGCTGGAGATGTCGATACTGGAAGGTCAGTTGCACGCTTTTCGAGCTGCGACGGCACGAACGCATTTGCACGCACGAGCAGAGACACCCTCCGCGAGCATCGCGCACGGCACGGGCGCAGTGAATTCGTGGGACTTCTCGACCAAGCAGTTGGTCTGGCAAGAATTCGCGCAACTGGCATCGACGGGGAGATCGGCCTCCCCCCCCACGTCGGGACCACAATGGGACTCTCTATGGCACCGGGGGGCGTCGTGAACGCGCGCTCCCCTGCAGTAGTTAGCTGGAACGACGAAGTAGCGTCAGCTGACATTAGTTGCAGCTGGCTTCGAGGCCCTTCAGTCGCAGGTGTGGGGGGGGGGGGGGGGGCAGGTGGACATAGGGATCGGCCTCTTCGTCGACGACGCAACTGGGTTACATGTGCCCGCATTTGCAGCAATATATATCACATACATCGCACAGCAACTCGATCGTGCAACGGCAATGCTGCAAGAGCATATGCAAGTGGACGGGCGTCATCTAAGCGCATACAAGACGAACCGCATCACCTCTCTCAGCGGGGATGGGTCTTGCCAGACCGCCAAGGAGCTCGCCGGGAACCGTTCTCTCCAGGGAGAAGTTGGTCGAGGAAGCCGAGCCCGTGGGCCCGCTTGAGTTTCGACGGCAAGTTGAACAACACAACTATCAGAGGGGCAAGAGCAGCTTGGCGATATTTAGGTGCGGCGTGGCATCATCCATTCTTCTGTTGACATTCAAGGACTTTCTTTTCCCCCACATGCTTCGTGGGGTCATGGTTTTCTTCCCTGCCGCGCCGCGCCCGCGACACTCACACACGCACACACACACACGCACACACACACACACACCTCACTCTTCGTACAGCACAGCACAGCACAGCACATCACAGCACAGCACAGCACAGCTCAGCTCAGCTCAGCACAGCACATAGCTCAGCTCAGCTCAGCACAGCTCAGCACAGCTCAGCACAGCCCAGCACGGCTCAGCTCAGCACAGCACAGCACAGCTCGTGGCACTTTCTCGACACCACAGGGGGTGCGCAGGGGTTGGTCTCTCAGCTCGGCTGCTATCCACGACACTGGCGCAAAGCCTAGCAGGCGTGGCACTCTCTCGACACCAAAGGGGGTGGGCAGGGGGTGGTCTCTCAGCTCACGGCACTGGCGCAAAGGCTAGCAGGCGTGGCACTTTCTCGACACCACAGGGGGTGCGCAGGGAGTGGTCTCTCACCGCGGTCCCTATCCACGACACTGGCGCAAAGGCTAGCAGGCGTGGCACTCTCTCGACACCAAAGGGGGTGGGCAGGAGGTGGTCTCTCAGCTCGGCCGCTATCCACGACACTGGCGCAAAGCCTAGCAGGCGTGGCACTTTCTCGACACCACAGGGGGTGCGCAGGGGG